TAACCCTCTTCTGCAATCAACGCTGTGACACTGCTGAGCTGGCCCAGGGGCTGTGTCGGTCCCACACTGCCACTCAGCCACGTTGCACAGGCACCTCCAGGAACGAGGGAGCAGCACCGGGCTGGGCAGCCAGGCCGTACTTGCCAAATTCTTTGTCCTTCACCACCGATTTGTGGCTCTGAGAAGCTAATCGCTTGTGCCCGCAAAATGGTTTGCCTCTTTAAACTGCCCAGGATGGTTGCATGTTTAGAATCTGGCTGGGCTTCTTCCCATTCTATGCCTTCCCTGATCCTTTAGCAATTCCTTTGCCCCGTTTCCCCGTGAACCCTGGCTGTGTACTCCAGGGGTGAAATCAGGGAGAATCTTTACAGATGGCTGGGTTATTGGGTCACGCTGGGTTGTGGCCAGGTTGCAACCCACCTGGACTCCCCTAAGGGCACAGGTGAGCTACAGGAAAGCACAACCCAGAGCACCCCAGTGCAATCCTTAGTCATCCTCAAGGGATCAAGAGTGCTCCAGGACTGAGGAGACAGGTTTGTCCGCTGCTTGCTGGTGCTGCTGGTACTGGCGGGCCCTTTGCCCCATACCCAGCGCCCTGCAAGGGGGCGGCTTGCAGGCTCCAGATCAACACAGCATTAGCTGTTGCTGCAGCAAGAGCAACGGCATTCCAGGCAGAGGAACATTGCTCAGCAAGAGCCAGCGGGCTGCGTGGCTTTAACATTGTGCAGACAAGCCCTGCCAAGCCAGGGGTCTCTCCTTCCTCCTCCCGCTTTGATTGCTCCTTTGGTAATCAGTTGTGTGGCAGGGCTTGTGTTGCAACCAAGAGCCACAAGCCAGATGGCTCGAGCTCTGAGGGAGCAAACTGTGGGGGAACCGGTACTTGGCAGTGTCATGCCAACACATGGCTGAATCTTCTGAAAATATTTGAGGAAAGTGGCTCGATAGCCGGCTGGCATAGTGCAAACTGTTCTTACCCTGAGGAAAATAACCATGAGACTAATTCAGATCATGCTGTCTGCATGTCAGAAGTGAGCTGTACATGGTCCCACTACCTCTGTGTGCCTGTGCGCACACGTGTGCATACGTGCTTGTCCTACGGGTGGAGATCATGGTTGATAACACTAACGAAGAAAGCCCAGTCAGTCTTAAGCCATCGCATTAAACTTTTTTAAAAAATCAAAGCAAAAATACCAATTTTGAATTTTAAGAATCTTATCTTGAATTTGAGCAATAAAATCGAGAAATTGGTGCATTTGAAAATTTAATGATATTTGTTACAGCTCCAACAAAACTTGTATTACATTGAATTGTCTGCTATGTTCTTGGGGACCCTTTCCTGCCCAGGGAGATACCTCAACCTGTAGTGCTAGAAACTGGCACGTGGGACTGCTGTGCATGAAGCTGTGGGGTTCTGGGTTCTTCTCAGCAGCTCCCACCACCGCATATCTCAACATGAAGGGTGAGCATCACCTCCTCCCTCTTTTTTTCCAGAGATGTCCCTTGAATGTCTGCAATGTTTGATGCTCTGGGTCAAGGTGGGAGCACGGGGTACTCTGGCACCCCCAGTTCTCATACTTTGACTGGGTCAAGTTGGCGGTTAGGTTCCAAATGCTCAGCCATCTTTGCTGTATCTTAAAACCAAGAATAAGAAAGAACCCAAAGGGAAACCCATGCCTGCTGGACAGCCATCTAACAAGGTCTCCTCTGGTCTCTGGTATGAGCACGCAGACTCCTTTTCTGTGAGGCGAATGCCAAATACGAGTTGTATCAGACACCTCCTCTACTCTTGTGTGACAGACATTTTCTGAAAAAGGGGGACTTCCATTTTGATAAATCCCAGGGCATCTTTCCTGTTTTTGTTACACCTGTTGCACAACATGTTTGAAGCAAGTCGGTGTTACCTGCTCTCCCTACAAAATAAGGATAGCAAAACACTTTTGTAATAGAAAATCCACAGCTATTCTGTTTGGCTTCCCTGGAATTGACCACTGATGTTCTCCAGAAATCCAGTGGTTCCAAAAGGGAAAGAGAGAGGATGAGGAGGTGTCTGAGAAGAGACTTGCTCTTTTAAGCATGTGGAGGCTGTTTCTTGGAAGAGTTCAACATTCAACAAGTTCAAACACTACCTTGTTAAACACATTTATTGATTTCTTGACAGTAAACACAGTAAGTAAATGACCATTAAAATATGAAAAAAATACAAAAGCATCTAATTTGACTTGGTCCAATCCTGGTTTGTCCGTAAACAAAAATAGACCTTTCCCCACAAAATATACAAGATTAAGCTGGTCTGCTTCAAGAATGGGCTCAGATAGGGACAAGGACATTAGTCACTTAAGGTCTCCTCCTATGCAGGGTTAGATAGAAAAAAGTCCTACAACCCAGCATCCCCCAGCTAGCAATGCTAAGCATGATAAGGCGTTCCTCACCTCCCAGTCTAACCCTGCATAGGACCGCAGGGTGTCCTAAGGGTCAGGCAATAGGGCAGCAAGTGTGCCTTTGTTGTGCGATCCAGATGCCCTCTCTTCTTTTGGGGAGTTATCCTTCTTTCAGGACCATGAGACCTGAATCTTGTAGGGATGATGGGAATCTTTGCCCAGAGGTGGAGATGGCTGTGATGTGGAGGGCTGCCTGGAATGTGCTACATGCGCTGATTGGTCCGTGTCTGAGCCACCTCCCTTCACGGCATCAATTCCATGTTGTGACCCTTTACAAGCATTTAGCCTGTAAAGTGGGGACCCTCCTGGAGCTGAATGGCTAGTCTTAAGCCAAAAAGGCCCCAGTCAAAGCCCTTTCCTCCCTATAGGACAGTGACAAAGATGGCGAGTTCTTCCCTCATGGATCATTCAGATGTGCATTCATGGGCAGTTGAGGTACATGAGCAGAGAACTCTGGAACCCTTCGTACTGCTCACCACAGGGAGGAGAGGAAAAGAGCTTGAGTGATTGGGAGCAGGGCACCAGTGGTGCTGGTGCTCTAGCCCCTACTGGGTTCAAAATCGGTCCAGTAAAACTTACTTTTGGATGTAAGGGCATACCATGACTTAACGGCCTCTTACACTTCTCCACCTTATTTGTGGGGACAGCAACACTGGGGAAGGGGGCATTCCCTGGCAGTTTTCTAGGATGCAAGAAATGCGCTGGCATTTCCCATGGGTGGCGCTCAGCATTATTCGTGGCAGCATATTTAGTCTTTTTTCTGGACTCTGTTTTGTGCTGATCCCTTGAGGAGCAGCATGTGCATTTCCCACAATGCCCCTGCCACCAAGTTTGTGTGTCTGTGTGAAATGGTGGAGAACATGTGAAGAAAACTGCGCCACACAGGCAGCTTTCTTTTTAAGGAGTGGGGATGAGGAAAAGGGAAATCACAAGGATTTTCAGAAAAAAGGAGAAATTTCACCTACATTGCATTATAAGCTAATTATACAATTAGATAAGGCCTAAGATATATTAAAATTTTCTTGTATGTGTCTGGTGTCATCCTTTCTTAATCCCATCTTGTAATTAAAGCTGCTCTACTTTAAGGCCCGATCCTATGGTCTCCGCATGTAGTTTGGGGGAACCATAGGATTCTTTTGGTGGGGGGGGGGGAGGATAGCATCATTTGGAGTCCCAGCTGTGAGGCCCTGTGACCTTGCAGCTGGGACTCTTGATGCAGAACTCCCTCCATGCCCTTCCCACAGCAATCCTGCCAGCTGCCCCTCTGAGCTCAGAGAGGAAGGAAAGGGCCATGCCAGAGG